TGAGGCTGTGCAATCGAAGGAAGCCAGTAGACAGCCTGATCAAATGTGCAGTGCAAATGATAACTGCCTCTTTGAGGAATTGCTGCACTGGGACCCCAGACTGTTCTCCTGAGATGCGTAGTCCATGCCAAGGTTATTTTATGCTCTCCGGTCAATCACTTAACCCTGTCCTTCAATTGTCTACTAATACATTCAACCACCCCTGATGCTTGGGGGCCATAAAGAGCACAGGGCATCCATCATACATGCCACATGCTTGGGCCTATTGATGTGTGGCTTGTCTTGGGCCACAAATCTGGGGCCATTATCAGATGCATTCCATCCCTGGGAATCCACCATCTAAGATCTGAATTGTGTCACTGATTGATTGACCTGACCTCACAAGGAGGTTTTTTGTTTTTGTATGTTTTTTGAAACAGAGTCTCGCTCTGTCACCCAAGTTGGAGTGCAGTGGCTCGATCTCACTGCTACCTTTGCCTCCCAGGTTCAAGCGATTCTTGTGCCTCAGCCTCCTGAGTAGCTGGGATTACAGATGCCCACCACCACACCTGGCTAATTTTTGTGTTTTTAGTAGAGACAGCGTTTCATCATGTTGGCTAGGCTGGTCTGGAACGCCTGACCTCAAGTGATCTGCCCACCTCGGCCTCCCAAAGGGCTGGGGTTACATGGGGAACCACTGCATCTGGCCACGAGGAGGTTTAACTGGACTTGATAACCATCCGGAGTGGCACGAACGAACCTAGAAATCTGAGTCTGGTTGCAACCTCATCATCTGCTATTCCCGCTTCCTCATCATGGACCCAGGGGACAACCAGCCGTGGCCTGCCACGGCTACAGGTTTGGAGTGAGGCATGAGTCCCAGGCAGCTCTTGCTATTCCCACTGCTACAGGCCAGGTCAACTGTCCTTGCCAGGTGTGAATCATGGGCATCTATCTCCCTGCTGGGTTTTCCGATTGGCTGCCCTTTCCTGGTCCTTTGGCCAGAGAGAGTAGGGTTTTCTTTTTGTTGCTTTTCTTTATTTGTTCTTTTGAATTTAGGCCTGTTGGCGGTTCTGGATTGCAGGCTTCTTTAGTTTTCAATATGGCATGTGTGGGAATAAAAAGACAGTCCAGGGACAAAACAGTGTGTCGTTCCTGCCTCTGGGTCCCCAGCCAGTCTGCCTCTACTTCCCCCCTCTCAGGATTGTTGTGTAATTGTCTGTTGATTTATTCCCAGGGGATTTAGGTGTACTTAGAGGGGAGATGCAGGGAAAAGTGAATCTATGCCATCATGTCTCAGAACTGGAAGTGCAATCCCCACCACAAGCGCTAGAATTGCAGAAGAAAAACAAGACAAGAACTTGAATGAAGAAAACATATTATCATGCAACCATCAAATGCTTGGACGGAAGGTGTTCTTAGACATCCTCTAGTCTAATTTCCCACATTTGGAAATGTGGAAGTTGGACTGAGAGCTGAATGGGCCAGCCTCACCCCCAGTTCAGCTGCCTGACTCGCCAGCCTGTGTTCTTGCCATTCCACACCAGGCTGTGTCCTGCAGCTTTGAAAAAATGTGAGCTGCCTGTCCTGCTCAGATCCCAACCCTCCCAGACCAGTTTGCTAAGAGTCTGTTCTGGCTGCAGAAATTCCAGACATCTTGTCACCTGGAATGCTAGTAAAATGTTCTCCTTTGACCTCACTGTTTTGTGGAACTTTTTTTTTGTTGGGTGGAGAGTGGGGAAGGAGAAAGAAAGGAGCTGCAATTTCCCTTGGGTAAGATTTGATTAGAATTTTAGGAAGAAACTGGCCAGGCCTGGTGATTTACGCCAGTAATCCCAGCACTTCGGGAGACCAAGGCGGGTGAATCACGAGGTCAGGAGTTCAAGACCAGACTGGTCAAGATGGTGAACCCTTATCTGTACTAAAAATACAAAAATTAGCTGGGTGAGGTGGCGGGTGCCTGTAATCACAGCTACTCGAGAGGCTGAGGCAGGAGAATCACTTGAACCCTGGGGGGTGGAGGTTGCAGCAAGCTGAGATTGTGCCACTACACTCTAGCCTGGGCAACAAAGTTAGACTCCATCTCAAAATAAATAAATAAATAAATTTAGGAAGAAATCAATTTGATTCTAAAGTTTTCTAGGCTATTGAGGATGTCTGGTGGCCACTGGGACATCAGGGCGAGACTTTTCTTTTAACTGCATGTACACGAATTACAGGTTGCTTCTGGAACCTACTGGGTCCAGGCCGAAGGCGCCTGCCTTCTGGCTCAGACTTTGACCCTCAGCTCCACATTTCCCCAGGGGTTGCTTGATTTCTCTGAGAATACTCATTAGCACAACCTTTAAAAAAATTTTTTTAATTTATTTTATTTATTTTCTTCGAGACAGAGTCTCACTCTGTGGCGTGATCTTGGATCACTGCAACCTCTGCCTCCCAGGTTCAAGTGATTCTCCTGCCTCAGCTTCTCGAGTAGCTGGGACTATAGGTGCATGCCACCATTCCTGGCTAATTTTTGTATTTTTAGTAGAGATGGGGGTCTCACTATGTTGGCCAGGCTGGTCTTGGACTCCTGGCCTCAAGCGATTTGCCTGCTTTGGCTTCCCAAATTGCTGGGATTACAGGTGTGAGAAATTGCTGGGATTACAGGTGTGAGAAATTGCTGGGATTACAGGTGTGAGAAATTGCTGGGATTACAGGTGTGAGAAATTGCTGGGATTACAGGTGTGAGAAATTGCTGGGATTACAGGTGTGAGTCACTGCTGTCTGGTCAGCACAACTTCTTAATGAATGACAGCCTTCACTTTTGAGGCTCAAACATTCGACTTCCTTAGTATAGTATTTAAATCTCTCTCTTTTTCTACCATTTCGGTAATTAAGCAGATAAAGAAAAATATCCAGAACAATATAATAGGGAGTAGGACAAGAAAATTCTGAAAAGCCATACCCTGTGGGTGGATCAAGTGCTGGGGTCCTTGAGTGTTGCTGGTTGCAGGAAGGCCCCGGCAGAAGGGTACTTTGATGAGCATCCACCTGGAGTGCTGAGTGAATATCCGATCAGCTGAGGTGGGGATACAGCTGACAGTGGAGGCGACATCATCTGTTTAGGTTTTCAGCCTGGGTGAGACTTTCAGTTAATACCCACCTTAAAACAAGATGCAAATTTTCCTTCAGAAAATCACTGAAAGGGTTTTCACTTTGGCACTATTGCTCTATGATATTAAAGAACTGAGATGCAGAGAAGACACACTGTGTGATTTCTAGTGGTTGCTCTTTTTATCCATATCCGTTCATTGCTGGATCCATGCTGTTCTGCCACAGCCCCTTTTCACTTGCCAACACACGTAGGTGTTTGCTCCCTGTCATAGTATTTCCTCCCCTATTCTCTAGCCGGCCTCCTCACTCCCTTAATTGTATCGTTTTCCTGAACAGCAGCTCTTAATCGTCAAGTGGTCCTGTTGATGATTCCTTTCCCTTATGGTCATCACTTTTTGTGGCCTTTTTGAGTTTTTTTCTACTCCAATATCATAAAGACATTCTCTTAGGATTTTTCATAAAAGTTTTGTTGCTTTTTTTTTTTTTTTTTTTTTTTTTTTTTTACAGAGTCTCACTGTGTTGCCCAGACTGGAGTGCTGTGGCATGATGTTGGCTCACTGCAACCTCTGCCTCCTGGGTTCAAGCGATTCTCATGCCTCAGCCTCCCGAGTAGCTGAGACTACAGAAGCCCATCACCACGTTCGGCTAAGTTTTTTATTTTTAGTAGAGAAAGGGTTTTGCCATGTTGGTCAGGCTGGTGTTGAACTCCTGACCTCAGGTGATCCTCCTACCTTGGCCTCCCAAAGTGCTGGAATTACAGGAGTGAGCCACTGTGCCTGGCCAATTGTTCCTTTTTATATTTAGATTGATTATCCATCTGAATTTGAATTTTGTGTGAGTAGGAAATCAAGGTTCATTTTATTTTATATGCTTGTTGACCAGTCATTATTTATTATGAAGACCCTCCTTTTTTCACTTCACTTCACCGTCATCTTTACCCACGTATCAAGTAAGAATAGAGTGTGAGACTTTAAAAAATTAATAGATTTTTTTTAGAACAGTTTTAGGTGTGGAGAAAAATAGAGCAGGTAGCTGGGCATGGTGGCACGCACCTGAAGTCCTAGCTTATTCAATGCTTATTAACATCTGCATATCTTTTTGTGAGGTGTCTGTTCAGATCTCTTGCCCACTTTTGAATCAGGTTATTTTCTTATTGTTGAGCCTTAACAGATTAGCTTAATCAGATTGGCTTTGGAAGGCTGAGGTGAGAGGGTCATTTGAGCCTGGGAGGTGGAGGTTGCAGTGAGTTGAGATTACACCACTGCACTCTAGCCTGGGTGACAGAGCAATGCCCTGTCTCAGAAAGAAAAAAAAAGAAAAAGCAGAAAGTAGAGAGTTCCTATATACCTTCTGTCCCCCACTCTTCTCCCCTCTCCATACTTTCCCGTTATTAATATCTCGCATTAGTGTAGTACATTTGTTACAAGTGATGAACCAATACTGATATTGTAGGGGAGGACAAATCTGTTCATGGCTGAGAACCCTGTAACAAAAGACAGATTAACAAAATAAAGTGCATAAACATATTTAATGTAAGTTTTATGTGACATGGAAGCCTTTATAAGGAAATGAAGACTCCAAGAAGCAGTGACAGTTTGATGTAGGTTTGATAAAGGGCGGACAGTGGTGGAAAATATGATAGAGCAAAGAGTTTGAATTAAGTGTAGCCCACTGGCAGAAGCTTATCAAGGCCTGTTTGTTTAGATTCCTCTGTGTTCCTTCATCTTCAGAGATGAGGACACTCCTTTCCACCAGGTATAGGGAGGGCATCTCTCACCTCAGGGACTTATGACCTGGCTTCAGGAGAAGGTCAGAAAACCCTTTCTGCACATGCTGCTTTTGCAAATTCCTTCAGCTTAAAATATTCAGTATGCCATTGTGTTAGTCCATTCTTGCATTGCTATAAAGAAATACCTGAGACTGGGTAATTTATAAAGAAAAGAAGTTTAATTGGCTCATAGTTCCACAGACTGTAGACGAAGCATGATGCCGGCCGGCGTCTGCTGGGCTTCTGGAGAGGTCTCAGGAAACTTACAATTATGGTGGAAGACAAACGGGGAGCGAGGCGAGACATCTGGGTCGGAGCAGGAGGAAGCAGGAGAACAGGGAGGTGCCACAAATTTTTCTTTCTTTTTTTTTTTTTTTTTTGAGACGGAGTCTCTCTGTCGCCCAGGCTGGAGTGCAATGGCACAATCTCAGCTCTCCGAAATCTCCGCCTCCCAGGTTCAAGCAATTCTCCTGCCTCAGCCTCCCAAGTAGCTGGGATTACAGGCACTTGCCACCACGCCCGACTACTTTTTGTATTTTTAGTAGAGACGGGGTTTCACCATGTTGGTCAGTCTGGTCTTGAACTCCCGATGTCAGGTGATCCACCCACCTTGGCTCCCAGAGTGCTGGGATGACAGGCATAAGTCACTGTGCCTGGCCAGTGCCACACATTTTTTTTTTTTTTTTGAGACGGAGTTTCGCTCTTGTTACCCAGGCTGGAGTGCAATGGCACGATCTTGGCTCATCGCAACCTCCGCCTCCTGGGTTCAGGCAATTCTCCTGCCTCAGGTTCCCGATTAGCTGGGATTACAGGCAAGCGCCACCATGCCCAGCTAATTTTTTGTATCTTTAGTAGAGACGGGGTTTCACCATGTTGACCAGGATGGTCTCGATATCTTGACCTCGTGATCCACCCACCTCGGCCTCCCAAATGCTGGGATTACAGGCTTGAGCCACCGCGCCCGGCCAGTGCCACACATTTTTAAACAACCAGATATTGTGAGAACTCTATCATACGAACAGCACTAGGGGGATGGTACTAAACTATTGAAACCATCCCCATGATCCAGTTACCTCCCATCAGGCCCCACCTCCAACATTGGGAATTACAAGTGGACATGAATTTGGGTGGGGACAACAAATCCAAACACTATCAGTCATGGTGCCATATTTTATGGTAGCATGTCCTGAATCCCATCAATAAGTTATTCTGAACTGAAGTCCCATGGTTTCCATTAGGGTTCACTTTTGGTGTTGTACATCTTATTGGTTTTGCCAAAAAAATAATGCCATGTAGAACCATTACAATATTATACAGAATAATTTCACTTCCCCAAAAATCCCCTGTGCTGGACATCTCACCCTTCCTGCCCTGAGTCCCTAGCAACCACTGATCTTTTTACTGTTACTATAGTTTTTTTCAGAATGTCACATGGTTGGACTCATACAGTATGTAGCCTTTCCAGACTGGCTTCTTTCACGTAGTAATATTCATTTAAGGCTCTTCCATGTCTTTTCATGGTTTGATAGCTCATTTCTTTTTATTGCTGAATAATAATCTATGGTATGGATGTGCCATAGTTCATCCATTCATTTATTGAGGGACATCTTGGTTGCTTCCAACTTTTGGCAGTTATGAATTACAAATAAAGTGGTATAAACATTCGGGTGCAGGTTTTTGCATGAGCATAAGTTTTCAACTAATTTGGGTAAATATCTAGAAATGTGATTGCTGGATCTTGCGGTAAGCATATGCTTTGGCCAGGCGTGGTGGCTCATGCCTGTAATCCCAGCACTTTGGGAGGCCAAGGCGGGATCACCTGAGGTCAGGAGTTTAAGACCAGCCTGGCCAACATGATGAAACCCCATCTCTACTAAAAAAAAAAAAATACAAAAATGAGCTGGGTGTGGTGGCGCATGCCTGTAATACTAGCTACTCGGGAAGCTGAGGCAAGAGAATTGCTTGAACCTGGGAGGCAGACGTTGGTTGCACTGAGCCAAGATTTCGCCACTGCACTCCAGCCTGAGCAAGAGTGAGACTGTCTCAAAAAAAGAAAGGCTGCGTGCAGTGACTCACACCTGTAATCCCGGCACTTTGGGAGGTGAAGGCGAGTGAATTACTTGAAGTCAGGAGTTCAAGACCGGCTTGACCAACATGGAGAAACCCAGTCTCTACTAAAAATACAAAAATTAGCCTGTGTGATGGCACATGCCTGTAGTCCCAGCAACTTGGGAGGCTGAGGCAGGAGAATCACTTGAACCTGGTAGGCAGAGGCTGCAGTGAGCCGAGGTCACTCCCATGACTGCACTCCAGCCTGGGAAACAGAGTGAGACTTCACCTCAACAACCACATCAAAAAGCTAACTTCTTCCAAAGTGTCTGTATGAGTTTTCATTTCCACAAGCAGTGAATGAGAGTTCCTGTTACTTCATATCCTTGCCAATGTTTGGTGGTGTCAGTGTTTTGGATTTTAGTAATTTTGGCCGATAAGTAGTGGTATCTCTTGTTGTTTTATTTTGCAATTCCCTAATGACATATGATGTTGAACATCTTTTCATATGCTTATTTGCCATCCGTATCTCTTTTTGGTGAGGTGTCTGTTTAAAGCTCTTGACCACTTTTCAATTGGGTTGTTTTCTTACTGTTGAGTCTTAAGCGTTCTTTGTATATTTTTGGATAACAGTATGGTCGAGGTTTTTTTTTTTTTTGAGATGGAGTCACGCTCTGTTGCCAGGCTGGAGTGCAGTGGCATGATCTCAGCTTACTGGGTTCAAGCAATTCTCCTGCCTCAGTCTCCTGAGTAGCAGGGACTACAGGCAAGTGCCACCATGCCCAGCTAATTTTTGTATTTTTAGTAGAGAAGGGGTTTCAACATGTTGGCCAGGGTGGTCTTGGTCTCTTAATCTCATGATTTGCTGACCCGTGATGCAAAGAACTTTGAGTACTTTGTATACTTTTGGGTAACAGTCTTTTGTTTTGCAAACATTTTCTTCCAATCTGCGGTTTGTCTCTTCACTCTTAACTGTATATTTTGAAAAAGAAAACTCAGAGAATATCTGGTCCCCCACAACAACATGTCATATCAGGTGAGAGATGACTTATTTTCTCAGAAACTAAGATTTTGGGTCATAATGTTGCAAACCACAAAAGTTAATTTTAAAACTCATCTTCTCGATCTACTAAGAATATGTACTGTTATCATCACTAACAGTTTCAAAGAAAGAAATAATTGGCTAATTCATTTTTTAGTGAATGTGTTTTGTTACTACTACAGACATTCTTAAAATCCTCTTTTTATGGAGAAAAAAATAAGGATTTTTCTTTACAGAAAGTGAGGAGTGAAGCCTAATGGAGGAAATATCTGTTTCAAGGAATAACCCTCCCAATATTTGCTTTTTTTTTTTTTTTTTTAACAGGCTGTCACCCTGTCTGGAGTGCTGTGATGGAATCATAGCTCACTACAGCCTCAAACTCCTGGGTTTTAGCAATCTTCATGCCTCAGCCTCGAGTAGCTGGGACCACAGGTGTGTGCCACCACTGCACCACCACCCCAACTAATTTTTTTGATTTTTGGTAAACACACTATATTGCCCAGGCTGGTCTTGAACTCCTGAGCTCAAGTGATCCTCCCACTTTGGCCTCTCAAAGTGCTCAGAGTCACTGAATCTAGCCTTATTTATTTGTTTTTTTTAAGAAACAGTCACTAGTGCGGTATGTAGGTTCAGTAGCTATGTAGGCCCTTCAGAGTCACTTTGCTTTTCTGGGCTTTCGTTTCCTTAACATCTTCCTGTCTGTAAGACACATGCTCTTCCACCCCTTAGACCAAAAAATATTGCTACCAGTGAGAATCTAATGAGATAAAATGAGGAAAATGCTTTAAAACTTTTAAAACTGCACAGTGCTTAAAAAATGCACTGTTACAATATCATTAAAAGTGATTCCTCAGTGGTGGAAATGGTTGTATAACAACGTGAATGTACTTGATGCCATTTAAAGCTGGTTACAATGGTAAATTTTATGGTATATATATTTTACCACAATTAGTACATTTAAAAAGGTGGTTCTTGACACTTAACCTTAGGGTTTGAAGTGCCCCATTTCTTGGGTATGGGCACATAGTGCCTCAAGACTATTGAGGATTCTCACCTCTTCTATGTCCAAACCTTTAAGAAAATTCTGGGGGGCCGGGTGCTGTGGCTCATGCCTGTAATCCCAGCACTTTGGGAGGCCGAGGTGGGCGGATCACGAGGTCAAGAGATAGAGACCATCCTGGTCAACATGGTGAAACACCATCTCTACTAAAAATACAACAATTAGCCAGGTGTGGTGGCGCATGCCTGTGGTCCCAGCCACTCGGGACGCTGAGGCAGAAGAACCGCTTGAACTCAGGAGGCAGAGGTTGCAGTGAGCTGGGATTGCGCCACTTCACTCCAGCCTGGCAGCAGAGCAAGACTCCATTTCAAAAAAAAAGAAAAAAAAGAAAAGAAAATTCTGGAAAAGCTAGGTCGGTGACATGAATATTGGAATCAGAGACCAACGAACCCATTTCTTCCTTTCTAAATCAGTAGTATGGGTTCTTGTCTGCAGTAGTTTTGTTTGAGAAAGCCGAAGGGGTAGACATCAGCAATCAACAAGCTGCAGAATATACAGATTGTGGTCAGTCATTGTAAACGCCCCATGACTGTCTAATCATTTCAATACCAAAAGAAAAACTTAAAACCCCAGCTGCTAAAATCTTTGTCTTAAACAACTCTTTGAGTCTCTCCCTACAAGGCCCAGAAAGGAATGAGATAGATGTGAATGGAATCTCTTTTCCTTTCCCTTGCCACCCTCTGGAGGAGGAGTCTAAGGCAGTAGCCAAGGCCAGCTGCCAGAGAGTCAAGGAGGAAGGAGTGGCCCCATCGAATCCACAAACCATACTACCCTGGCCCGTGTGTTAGTTACATACAATCTCCCAAGTTGGCAACAAAGGCATGCACATTTAGGGGATTCTGGTTTCACTGTTGGTGTTTATCTTTGAAGAGTGTCACATCAGATGAATGGGAAGGGTGTGTTGCCGTTGAGCTGAGGTTGGGTCCTTCTTGGCTTTCTTAGGGACACTTACAGGTCCAAATCTGCTTTCGGATTTGAGATTCAAGAGGGTGGAAACCACTTGGAGATTTGAGTCAAAGCAGACCTGTCCTCACTGTGTGCTGGGCAGGAGCCAGCTCTCCATGTCCGTGCAGCTTCGGCAACACCTCCAGGTCTTTCAGCTTCCCTGGGACTAAGGACCATGCACATGATTAATTCTGACATAAACAGTCACACAGACACCTATGCCAAGATGAGGGTAAGAAATTGGTTAGAGCAAATGAAGTAATAATGAGCCTTGTGCTTCACAATAGAAATTCAACCAACCTGAGGGTTATAATTTACTTATTAACTCTTACTGCTATTATTTTTTTTGAGATGGAGTCTCCCTCTGTCACACAGGCACAATGGTGCCATCTTGGCTCATTGCAACCTCCACCTCCTAGGCTCAAGCGATTCTCAAGCCTTGAGTAGCTGAGACTACAGGCACATGCCACCATGCCCAGCTAATTTTTTTGTATTTTTAGTAGAGATGGGGTTTCGCCATGTTGGCCGGGCCGCTCTTGAACTGCTCTTAAGTGATCCGCCTGCCTCAGCCTCTCCAAGTGCTGGGATCACAGGGGTGAGCCACTGTGCCTGGCCATAATTCACTTATTAGCTCTTCATATATGTATATATATATATAAAAGATCTAAGACTGGAGAATCTAGGGTCAGTGCCTTACAAATGGCACAAGTTGAAGCCCTGAGACTCCCACCGCTACCCTGCTCCCCGCATTCTCAGTACTGCCTCTCAGATGCATCCAGCAGCTAACCCGTATTTGCAAGGCTGGGTTTGGGTACATGCAGTGAGACGTTTACAGGGTCTAAGAGCAGAAACTCTTGAGTGAGACACTCCTGAGTTCATGCACTGGCCCTGCCATTTGTCAGCTGATTGATGTTGCATTTAATTTCGTCATCTGTAACAGGCCTAATAATCTGTAGCCATCTGAGAGATGTTGTGAGCTTGAATAACAGGGTAGTGAATATTTATTTATTTATTGATACAGGGTCTCGCTCTGTCACCCAGGCTGGAGTGCAGTGGCATGAGCATAGCTCCCTGCACCCTTGACCTCCCACGCTCAAGTTTTCCTTTCACTTCAGTCTCCTAAGTAGCTGGAGACCATAGACGCACCTCACGACACCTGACTAATTTTTAACATTTTCTGTAGAGACGGTGTCTCCCTATGTTGCCCAGGCTGGTCTCTATTTCTGGGGCTCAAGTGATCCTCCTGCCTTGGCCTTCCAAAGTGCTGGAACTACTGGTGCGAGTCACCGCGACCACAGCCTATTTACTGAGAACTGTGGAAGGCACAGGCACTATTATAAGTGCTCCAGCTGTTTTATCTCCCACATTTTTGCTCAGTTAGGAGTTCCAAAGCTGGAACTTGAAGATTCGTATTTTAAAAAATTTTGCAGTTAATTCTGAGGTTGGTCAGATTGAGATCATGGTTGTGCATTCATGTTTAGGCAGTGACTAACCACTCAGGGCCTTAGAGACAAACAGAGCTCATTCTATCACTCACTCACTGAATGAGCATAGCCAAGTCTTTCAACCTCTCTAAGCCTCAGTGTCCCCATTCATAAAATGGGACCAGTAGTAGCATCCACTTCTGAGAACTGTTCAGAAGTGGAAATGAACCAATTTAGGTGGCCATGTCTGGCATACACAAATGGTTTGATTAGTATTAGCTGTGCCTTTATTAGGCCATCTCATTTTTGTTAGGTGACTGAGAAACCAAGGACCTTCTGACCTTTGTGCATCGGTCACTCTTAGTTTAAATTTGTTGCTCTTCCATCCACATAATTGATTCCAAATCCTAAGTGTTGGAGAAAGGGAGTTAGTGTGTCATAGAAAAATCCCTGTCTTTGGCCCAGCAGGACTGTGTTTGACTCTATGTAACTGTTTGAGCATTAGTTTCCTCATCTATAACATGGGAGAACAATACTCTGAATTGCTGAGAGAATTAGTGGTAGTTCTTGTCATGGTGTAACATATAAGTAATGTGTTATTGTTGGTGTTCTGGTTATAAAATGTACAACATGTGAAAACAAAAGGGCGGAAAACCCTTATTAAAAACTCAGGAAACAGAAGCAGATGGGAGAGAACTGGGGAGGGACTGGGCATGGTGGCTTATGCCTATAATCCCAGCACTTTGGGAGGCCAAGGTGGGTGGATTGTTTGAGGTCAGGAGTTGGAGATCAGTCTGACCAACATGGTGAAACCCCGTCTCTACTAAAAATGCAAAAATTAGCTGGACGTGGTGGTGGGTGCCTGTAGTCCCAGATACTAGGGAGGCTGAGGCAGGAGAATCACTTGAATCCAGGAGGTGGAGACTGCAGTGAGCCAAGATCTCAGCACTGCACTCCAGCCTGGGCAACAGACCAAACAAACAAACAAACAAAAGAGAGAACAGGGGAGGGTCTGGGGCTCAGAGCTTGGGGAACAGACCTCACTCAGTAGCACCAACACTCCAGGCTGGATACTACAAAGACACAGGTTACTACTAAACTGGAGAACATGGCCACGGCTGGGAACTCAGGGCTGAGCCAAGTAGGGCTGAGCGAAAACACTTCCTCCTTTGTGAACAATCTACCTACATTTCAGCTACAGGGCTGGCTTTACTCAGTCCTCGGGGAGGGAGGAGAGGGCTGGTCTGTGGCTTCAGTGCTGAGATTTGGATCAAGAGAGGGAAATGCCCTCTCCCCAGACCCTTTGCAAGGAAGAATGGCATATTACTTGCTACGGACAGGTGTTATTATTATTAATGGAGTCAGTATAAATGCTTTCCAGTGAAGCATGTCCAGCGCTCGGGTTTCTAGTTTGCACGTCAATGAATTGTCTGCCACCTACCTCTTCTGAATGGTTGGAAATTGGGCATCTGTTCCTTTAAAAAGGAAACATTTCTTGCTTGAGTGAGTCATCTCTGTCCTCCTGCTTTAGGAGTACAATTTACCCCGGAGTTCCTTCTGTTGTGAATTTTCTTTTTCTCTGGAGACCAGATTCTGTCCTTTTGCTGGAGGGAAGTGTTTTTACAGATTTCCTCCTTACTCTTGCGTTTTTTTCAAGCCGGGCTGAATTTGCTAGTCCACTCAACAGGAAGTGAGGCCGTGGAGGGTGGTGATCGAAAGTAAAAGAAAGGTTCCTCCTGGGAGCCCTTCCCACCCCGCTCCCCACGGAGCGTGTGGAGTTAGGCAGGTTAGGGGACTCGGAGACTGCGATGGTGCCCGGAAAGGGTGGAGCGGGTGAGTGCCTGTTGCCGAGGTGACCCCTTCCACAGGAAACCACAATATTTTTGTTTCTTCACTAGCTCTAGAAACGGGTCGGTGGGCAGGGGGAAGCAACTTGCATCTGCCCTTCTGAGGACACCTCTGGGTCCTGCCTGGCCCCGCTCCCCTGTGGGGCTTCTCTCTGAGCCGTTGCCTCTGACCTTGCTGCTTTTTCACTCGGAGGAGTCTCCAGTTTCTTTGCCGCCTTCAGAGCTTGAGCTCCCAGCTTCCCTGACGCCTCGAATACCGACACACTGTCTCCCTCCTGTGGACCCTTTTGGAGATTCCAGAAAACTTTATCAATCCACTTTTTTTTTTTCTTTTTCATTTGGCCCTGGGGCAGGGGGTTAAGTTCTTTATTCTGTCGAATCACGATGCCCTGCAGACCTGGGTCCCTAAGGCGCACAGCCGGCTTCCTTCCTCCCCGGGTTCTAAGGGTTTCCTTTCACCTCTCCACTCCCACCCCTGCCCTCTCTCTTGCTTCCCAAAGACAGTTCTCTAATGTTTTGATATGAATTCGTGATTTAATCTGTATCTTTGCAAAATGTATTTTTCTTTTGTGTGTGTACACTATTTTTTAACTATGCGATCTGAGGCAGGTAAGTAATTCCTCTGTGCCTCTGTCATCTCATCATTATATGGGATTAATAATGCCTCGGGAGGTGACTGTGAGGCTTGAAGGAGACACTAGGCACAAGTCACTTACTACACCAGTTATCAATTACTATTGCATATTAATATTATTGGTATTTTATTTTGCACATTCTATTTCTATTTCTTTTTTGTTTTTTTGAGACAGGGTCTTGCTCTGTCACCCAGGCACAATCATGATTGTACAGTGGCACAATCATGGCTCACTTCAGCCTCGACATCCTGGGATTAAGCAATTTTCCCATCTCAGCTTTCAGATTAGCTGGGACCACAGGCATGTGCTACTACACCTGGCTAATTAAAAATTTTTTTTCGTAGAGATGGTGTCTCACTATGTTGCCCAGGCTGGTCTCAAATGCCTAGGCTCAAATGATCCTCCCACCTTGGCCTCCCAAAGTGCTAGGATTACAGGCATGCCACTGTGCCCATCAGGCATTGATGTTATGAGGCCACCTTGACCTAGCCCTCTCTGGTGAGGAGTCCCTTTCAGATACTTCATTCAGTCTTCTCAGCTATGAGTGCCTGCCCTCTGAATGCTTATATTCTATTTGGGGAAGGACAAAAGGCAGCTTCAAAGAAGAGAGATGCTTGATTTTCTTTTCCTGCTTTTAATATCAGAAAACATTTCAGCTAACTCTCAGTATGAAGGCAATCTTTTGTTTACTGATACATATATTATATACATATGGGCAACTAGAGCCCAACATGATGAGGTCCCCAGGATTTGCCTCTTTGATAAGATGGTAAAAACCCATCTTGCAGTTAACTTCATGGTTTCCTCAGCTACACTCATACACAAGGACCACCTTTGGTAAGATGGGCTTACCAAAGAGTTATTTCATTTTAGAGTTCTTTTCTTTCTAGATTTTTTATTTTAGAATTTTTTTTTTTATTTCAGAGTTTTTTCTTTTTAGAGGTTTTTCATTTTAGAGTTTTTTATTTTAAAGTTTTTTAGATTGCTGAGAGTGGAATCTGGTGACCTTGGGGCCATGGAGATGCTCCTTGGCTAAACCAGGTGCTTTAGCTCTGAAAGTTCGCAGCCACCTTGAGAACCAAGATGAGGGCTCTGCAGTGCCCAATCTCAAGACCTCTCCGGGGTGCTCAGTCACGATACATTGAATGAAAAACTTAAAGTCTTAATGATGAACCCAAAAAAACTTCAAATACTAAATATGAAAAGAAAGTGTTCTTAGTTACAATCCAGTCCAGTGTCCTCATTTCAGAACATGGAAATGAGGCTCCAAAGGTAAAATGACTCATCCAAAGTCACACAAAGATGTTGGCCAGTGGCCATTGCTCAGGTGGCCATGTGCCTTGCCCCACCCTGCCTGCAATCTCATGGACCACCAGGCCTTTTCCCTTTAGCTTTAGGAGCTTTAGAGGGCGGCTCTGCTCACTCAGAGACAAGTGGTAAGTGTTGTTTCCCCTCTAGTGTTTGTGACTCAGGAGTTTCGAAACAGGAAGTGCAGCTGGCTGTGCCTTCCGTCCTTCATTAGACGTTTGCTCTTGTCTTAGATGCTCAGATGGGCAGTGGATAGGCCTGTGAAGAAGGTGCTACCGTTGTGATAATAAGGTAAGGATTCGCCTCTTTGGTAAGGTCAGAGGGGCCTTTTGGGAGGAAGGCCTTTGATTCTGGAGTTTTCTAGGCTCCTGAGAGTGAGATTGGGTGGCCTTGGGGCCATGGAGGTGATCCTCATGTTTGAGTGTGGATGGGGAAACCATGAAGTTAGTGTAAGAGGCAGCAGTCCCTCTGAGAGCCTTGCCGAGGGTTATGCAGTTTCCAGACCTCAAGCCACTCTAACTTAGATCGATGGAGTCTTAGGAGTTTCTGAAAGGCTCCAAGTTTAGCTACTTGTACGAAAGCCTGATCCCAGCCCAACTTGTCTTAGAAGCCAAAATTTAAATCTCAACTGACTTTGCTGCTACAGCTATCCTCCCACCAACACACAGACCCACCAACATACACATTTGCCAACATAAACACACACACACACACACATACGCATACTCATACCCATTGTCCTACTAATTCAATTATTTGTTTTTTAAAGAAATTTAAAAAGGCTGGGCATGGTGGCTCACATCTGTAATCCCAGCACTTTGGGAGGCCGAGGCAGGTGGATCACCTGAGGTCGGGAGTTTGAGACCAGCCTGACCAACAAGGAGAAACCTCGTCTCTCCTAAAATTACAAAATTAGCTGGGCGTGGTGGCCCATGCTTTTAATCCCAGCTACTTGGGAGGATGAGGCAGGAGAATTGCTTGAACCTGGGAGGCGGAGATTGCTGTGAGCCGAGATCACGCCATTGCTTTCCAGCCTGGGCAACAAGAGCAAAACTCTGTCTCAAAAAAAAAAGAAAGAAAATTAAAAAGATACAAAACAGTTCAAAAAACAATATAATGGGAAGACTGGATGGATGAAATCAGAGACCTGTCCTTGTGGGGTTAAGCATTTACAGGTGAAGTTGCAAGTTTCATTCTGTTTGAAAATGATGGGCTTGTATGTTTTGCTGAGGTCGGGATACCTTTGCTTGGTTGTTTGCACACTGTGGTTGCGGCGCCCTGCTATGGACACCATGTGAGTGCAGAATGGATGTCTGTGAGGTTCAGGGGCAGCCCAAAGTCTGGGGCAGCCAGCCTGGACCCGAGGCCGTGGCAATACTACCTACCGGTTAGAGGTTTGGGCCTGAGAGTGAGTGGCTTTCAGGTTCTCTCAAGTTTTGGATGAGATGCAGGTTTTTGTTTCCGATGGCGAATGCATGTTTTGCTTTTCCCCCCACCTGTGGGGTAGTTATCAGTGCAAGAGCTAGGATGCTGCTAGAATATTAACTAGAATGATGGTGATGAGATGGAATGTATTTGTAGTCTAACTGTGGCATATAAAACAGTGGTAGAATGGGACTCTGGAATGAGATGCTGAGGCCTAGACTCCAGCACTTCCTTTGTGAGGCTCTGACCCTCTCTCTCCTGTAGTGGATTTGTTGAGAACTCCCGGTGTTGTGGTTTTGTTGTTGTCAATTTTTTTGGAATTTTAATCTCTAAAAAAGTTATGATTTTATGTTTTTCTTCGTGAGATTCCTTCACCGCCTTCCAGCTGCAAGTAGAATAATATCTGTATCTTTGTGCTCTGTCACTGAAGCCCTCGAGTGAGATACTCAATTCTGGCTGTGGCTCTCTCCCTTACTAGCTCATTTCCAAGCCGTGACTTTTCATAACAGAAAAATGGGTACAATAATAGTAATTTCTTCAGAGGTTTTAGTGAAATGAAGTTAAAAAATATTTTTGTGTTTATATGGATATATAGGTTATAAATATTTATTATATAATTTATGTATATGATTATTATAAACACATTTTTATTTAAATACTTTGAGGGATAAATATATAAAATATTAAATATATAATACAAAGACATATAAATATATAATATAAATAGACATTTAGCAGATATTATATAAATATATGTATTACATGGAAAATATTCAAATTTACCTATGTTATATATACATGTGAAAAAAAACTGGGAAAAACGCACAAAATGTGACCAAAGAATTACTTCCAAATGGCAAGTTTTTAAGTAATTTTTATTTTCTTTGTATACTTCTTTGTATTTTCTCTATGAAACAAGTGTTACTTTTACTATTTTTAGGAACCAAAAACTACAAGGGCATTATTTTTAAAATACTAGCTTAACGAAGTTTCTAGCCCGTAAGAGTGCGGAAGATCTAGGTCCCATTAAACAAGAACCACCACGTGATACCTCTCCCCATACGGTACTGGACTGGCCCGTTGTTAATGGTGTCTTAAAGCCTGTTTTCTAGGTACTAAGACTACAGGGATGTATGACTTAAGCAAAAACCAAAAAACAGGCAAGGCTGACTGTTATCTCGCGGCGTGTCCCAGAGCACCTAGGTCAGAGGAGAAGCCATGTTAGCATTTTCCCTTCTGAGCGTCAATTATGATTTGATGGGAAAACCACTTAAAAACCATTGTCACATTGTTGAAAGGTAATGAAATGAGTGAGATAAGGTGGCTATGGAGGACAGGAGCTACCCGCCAGTTGTATT